TAAAAGCAGAAGCCAACCCTGCCCCCAAATCTCTCTGTCCCAAGCAGAAGCCAGCCTTATACAAATGCAGATGAAAACCATCAGAAAGGCCCCAGCTAGGAGATCAAGACAAAGACCTAAAATCTGCATATCCCACCTGAGATGGGACATAATAGGACTAACCCATCACCATCAAGAATATCAGAGAAGCACACCTAGACTCAGGTCAGAATACCTGACACAGGAAATATCCTCAAAGTTCATGCCACAGGAACAGGAAACTATTCCAAACAAAAGGCTAGAGAGGGTATAAAAACCTACTACCCATGTGCTCAGCCCCTTCTTTTCTCTGGTCTTTCCTGCAAGAACCATCTTTCTGCCTCTTCAATAAACTGCAACCTTCTTCCCAAAGCAATCGTCATGTTGTTTATTTATCCCTGGCTTGGATGAACCAGGATGAAGACTTTTCTTCCAACAATGCATTACTGCAATTTCCTCTATGCACGAGAAATAGCTGCATATATGCCAACACTGAGACTTGTATTGATGGCTTGACTTGGATGAGCAGCTGAGAAAGAAACATGTGGGCACCACTCGCCATGATCTACTGATAATACATTAAATGCACACTTTTCATTGTCCCCTCATTTTTAAGATATTTTATATTAAACGGCCAGTTAATTAAATAATATTGATTACACATGGTAGCAAAGTAAATTAATTGTTTGCTGTCTTTTCATGTGTCCCCAAATCTGTTGCCTGAGAAGGCTGCCTTCCTTTCTTAGTGGTAAGTGGATCCTGATTAAAGCATCTCCACACTATGCTTAGTGCTAGTCATAGCTATTTTCACTAAATGTTGGCCACTAGTGAAGTGAGGCAAAGGTTATTTATCTCTGTCTTCACAGTTGAGGGTAAGAGTTCTAATTCAAGCTTATTTCATATATAGAGGACAATATACATTTATAAAACAGAGGACTTCTTCAGATATTGAAATAACACATTGCAATTGTTAATTAATAAGGTATTGTAAACTGCCTTGTGGAGCTTGCATCTGCCATTCTCTGGCTTCTTCCCCTCCTCCCTCCCTCCCTCCCTGTCCAAATATAAATTCTACCTCAGTCTAGCCCAGTATTTCTCAACCAGAGGAACTTTAAGATGTGTGGATTTCAACTCCAGAAATTCCCCAGCCAGCATGGTTGGTTGCAGAATTCTAAATAGCGTTGACGATCGACTTCAAGAATGTTGAACTTCCTTGAGGAAATTAAAGACAATCCTGCCCTCCAGTGGTCAGTAGAGCATAATGCAGTGGCTTCATTTTCTCTGACTGCTGGCTGCATGATTCCTAAACACAGTTGTCTCTGCCTATTCTGTTCACATCTTATCACTCTTTCTCGGTAATCTGCAAATAGATAAAGATAGTATTGAATATTATACTCTCATTTTGTTTGATAAATGCCTCTGACACCTTTCTTATTAGCACATGGTCCAGAAAATAAAAAAATACTTCTCATTTTAGGTTTACAAGCACATTGCTCAATCACATTGCATTACAGTAGTTCCTGCATGGGTTTTTTTTTTTTTTTTTGCTGTTTAAACAAAGTTGTTCTCAAATCTGAGAATGTTCTTCTTTAAAGGGCTGTCCTGGTCAGTTCTGGTTTCAAATTAGAATGCCTCAAGGGATGTGCGAAATAAGTGTTCCATCAAATCAACAATGCATGTAGGTAATAGAAAGAACAGGGCAATAATGGGTGCCAGAAGATAAAATGTAGGGTTAGGAGCCTAGATATCCATACAGGGAACAAGTGAAACAATGCAATCTCTGCCCCTTTTGTTCTTGCATGCAATATCTGCATACAATACAAGTTACGTTGTGTTGTTATAATACACATTATCATGTTGGTGATATTAACAGATAATTTAGATCATCAATACCTGGAGGTGCTTATATAGATTTTGATATAATATTTAGTGCTTTTCTAAAGTAAGTAAAAAGCTTCATAATATTTTTTTCCAGTTGTTATTCATTAATATACTATTTGTATGTTGTGCATATACAAACCATCATGTTGATTGTTTCCTGGTGATTATTATGGAGAAAAAAATCTGTTTGAAACCTTCCTCCAAGTATTCAATGACTGTTAAGACAATCTTCACTAAACTTAGTTGCATGCAAGCTTTTAGAAACCATTAATCTGGAAGAAAAGCCCATACCTGCAAAAATTTTCAATAAGGAACCACTTTGAGTTCCTGCAATACCCTCAAGTACCTACTTACTTCGATGGGTGTTTCAAAAGCAATCTGGTTATTGACATGTCTTTGTTTTTAGAGACAGATTGATATATGAGAAAGGAGCCATGAGTTTAATGTTACATTGCCACCAGCAGTTCCAAACAGGAGACTAATATAAACCCTATTATAACTATTATGATAAACTATATTATTTAAGTTATAAATATTCCTAAATATGTACTGATGCATGTGAATAATAAATACAGTATAAATACGAAAGCAATATGATGACCTTGTGTCATTTTTGTGATTTTGTTTCCTCTTTGATGCAATCTGTATATGATTCTGTCACATTTAGTTCACTGAATTCACTGAATCAAAAGCAAATGTGACTTACTTGAAGAGAGAGGGAGAAAGGGAAAGAGAGAGAGAGAGAGGTAATAATAATAATAATAATAATAATAATAATAATAATAATAATAATAATAATAATAATAATAATAATAATAATAATAATAAAGTTGTAAGGGACCTTGGAGGTCATCAAGTCCAACCCCCTGCTCAGGCAGGTAACCCTATACCATTTCGGACAAATGGCTGTCCAGTTTCTTCTTAAAAACTTCCAGTGTTGGAGCATTCACCACTTCTGGAGGCAGGTTGTTCCACTGGTTAATTGTTCTAACTGTCAGGAAGTTTCTCCTTAGTTCTAGATTGCTTCTCTCCTTGATTACTTTCCATTCGTTGTTTCTTGTCCTGCCTTCAGGCGCTTTGGAAAATAGCTTGACTCCCTCTTTTTTGTGGCAGCCCCTGAGATATTGGAACACTGCTATCATGTCCCCCCTCATCCTTCTCTTCATTAAACTAGACATACCCAATTCCAGCAACCGTTCCTTATATGTTTTAGCCTCCAGTCCCCTAATCATTTTTGTTGCTCTTCTCTGTACTATTTCTAGAGTCTCAACATCTTTTTTACATAGTGGTGACCAAAACTGGATGCAGTATTCCAAGTGTGGCCTTACCAAGGCATTGTAAAGTATTAATACTTCACGTGATCTTGATTCTATCCCTCTGTTAATGCAGCCTAGCACTGTGTTGGCTTTTTTGGCAGCTGCAGCACACTGCTAGCTCATATTTAAATGATTGTCCATTAGGATGCCGAGATCCCTCTCACAGTTACTACTATTGAGCAAGGTACCCCCTATACTATACCTATACATTTGGTTTTTCTTGCCTAAATGTAGAACCTTACTTTTTTCACCATTGAATTTCATTTTGTTAGATAGCACCCAGTGTTCAAGTCTGTCCAGATCCTCCTGTATCCTAAGCCTGTCTTCTGGAGTGTTGGCTATTCCTGCCATCTTGATGTCGTCTGCAAATTTGATGAGTTCCCCATCTAGCCCCTCGTCCAAATCATTGATGAAGATGTTGAAGAGCACTGGGCCCAGAACAGAGCCCTGGGCCACCCCACTACACACTTCCCTCCATGTAGATGTGGTTCCATTGAGGATCACACACTGAGTACTGCCGGTCAGCCAGCTACGGATCCATCTGGTGGTGATGCTGTCTAACCTGCATTTTTCTATCTTCTCAAGTAGTAGGTTGTGATCTACTTTGTCATGCAAAGTGTGTGTGTGTGTGTGTGTGTGTGTGTGTGTGTGTTGACATATTCCTCCTTTGGGTTAGTAAGATAAATGAATATTCTCGGAGTAAGCAGAGGAAGTGTACTGCATTTGTCTCATTTTTATTTTTAAAATACAAGCTTCTAAGGAGAATTGAAAAGAGAATGGAGAAAAAGGAGTTGCTTATTTCATATTTTCTTTATTGATTGCCACTGGCTGGAATCTTAGGTTGCATGCTAGATATCAGTAAAACAGATGGAACTATATTAGAATTACAGCAAGGTTAAGGAAGGTGGCCTATACATTGCTGACCAGGGACAGCTGAATACAGGTTTGAAGCTTCTGAACTGTGATGGATCCTGAAAGGCCTGCAAAGATACTCATTCTTGCATTAGTGGCTCTTACGATGTCACTCACTGCTATGGATGTTGCAGAGGGAAAGTTTTTTTTTAAAAAAATACACTTTTAATGAAGAAAATTATAAATCCCTCCAAACACGATGAACTCCTCCATTTTTTTTTAACTTAAAAGTGGGCAGAGCAAATTTGTTGCAACTGTCACCCACTCCCCACTGCCACTACCACCCTACTCAGCTTAGCTCACCTCTGCTTCTGCCTCTTCAATTACTTTAGAAGACAACAAATCTGTATTCTTGCTTTCGTTGCATCAGCCTTCATGTGACTGATCGATGCTGTGACAGCTCATGCTGGCAACCCGGCCCTGTGTTTTGGGCTTGACAGATGTTATCAGATACAGCCTGACATTTGGAACCCTTTCAGCAAGAATACAGAAGGCTCTGGGAAGATACCTCATCTTCCTTGTCATCCTAACAAGGTGTGTGAAAGTGGGGGAAAGTTTAGGCCAGGGGTAGGCAACGTTGGCTCTTTTATGACTCGTGGACTTCAACTCCCAGAATTCCTGAGCCAGCCAAGCTGGCTCAGGAATTCTGGGAGTTGAAGTCCACGAGTCATAAAAGAGCCAACGTTGCCTACCCCTGGTTTAGGCTAAAGCTTCAAATCCTCTAGCTGTTCATCCAGCCCTCATTCCTTCCAAGAGAAGAATGAAAACAAAAAGAAAACCTCCTAGACGTTCACTGATATCTATGTAAGGGTGCTGTGAATGAGGCCTGAAAGGGGTGGATAGCCTGGATGCTTCAGCAGCAGGAGGATCAAACTAAGAAGACTGAGCTGAAGTCGGCTTCTCTTCGCGGGATACGGGAATGGGTCTCTCGCTATGGCCGGGGTCTGTGGCAGACTGAACCTTGGGAGCAGAGAAGGTTAGCATGCCATCAGTAGACAGAGAGCAAGTGATGGATGATTGGTCGACAGTGGAAGGAAGACGGTATCGACGATGGAATTCACGGGAAATGTATCCATGGTCATCCTGAAGTGAGACGCAACAAAAACAAAAGCAAAACAAAACTCATTGGCATTAAAGGGTATAGTTAACAGGTAAGTCCTTCAGGATCAATTGCTCTATAACAGTGGTTCTCAACCTTTTTAATGCCGCGACCCAAACCGGTCGTAAGTCGAGGACTAAACCGGTCGTAAGTCGAGGACTAAACCGGTCGTAAGTCGAGGACTACCCAACCGGTCGTAAGTCGAGGACTTTCCCTGCCCGGGAGCGCCACGCATGCGTGGTTCCGCCCCCTGCGCCGGCCGAGGCGTAGCTGGCAAGCGGCAGAGACGGAGCAGGCCGACCACCAGCTGGCTCAGCCCAAGGGAGGTAAGGCACCCACTGGAAAAGGGGAAAAAATGGCGGACAAAAAAAATGGCGGGCAAAAAAAATGGCGGACAGCCTTGCTTGGCGACCCCCATGAAATGGTCGATCGATCCCAAATGGGGTCCCGATCCACAGGTTGAGAACCACTGCTCTATAAACATCAGCCTGGTTGCAGAACAGAGTTATAGAAGCAGAAATGAGCCAACATTTATCCCCCCCCCATATTGCTTTCATCCATTCTCTCCCTCTTCAAAGAGCTGTCCAGAGCAGATTGATTCACCTTTGCATGATATAGCCAGTCATGTATTCTACACAAGGTTGTCTAAAGGTATCTTCATATTGTAATTGGTGCAAAATGCTTCTTGGCTAGTACCAGTCACCAGAGCACATAACACCCATACTGCAGGCCCAGCATTAGCTACCTGTATTTTCCCAGGTGCAATCTGAAGTACTGCTGCTGACTATAAAGCCTTAAATGGCTTGGAACCCAGATTTTGAAGCCAGAATCAACCCATCCTGTATGGTCATTCCAGGAGAAGTTTCCCACTTCCATGATGTGAGAGCCAAGATCATATTTATAGCCCTGCTGTATAATATGGCTTCTTCTAAGAAGGCAGACTAATCCCTTAATATCACTCCCGAAGATAGTAAAGACAGAGCTCTTCCTGAACACATTTGATAGGAAAAATTTTGGTATTACTTATCATTAATCTTATTATAGTATTTTTTTTCTTGGATTGGAGAAATTCCATTTAAATTATTGGGATCGTGTTTAGATTTACCTTTTTATTTTTATCTTACTGTGTATGTTTTACCTATATATTTGTACTGCAACTGTTTTAATTGCTAGTTGTAAATTGCCAGGAGTCCCTGACAGATTCAGTGATGTACTAGTGCAATAAATAAGTACATAAAATATTGCGCTGTTCTGTACATGTTTAGTTAATGTTAATAAACACAATTTAAGGTTTTGGGCACTTTCACACAAAGGGACATGCAAATACTTTAAAAACAATTGTAGACCTCTATGTAGATTATGTGTCTGCGTCTGTGGACTTTTCCACTTGATACTTTTACGGAGACTGTAAGTCACATTGAACTTACAGTTCCTTCCCAAAGAGCAGGTGGCAACTATGGCCAACAGGACTTTTGCACAATTCCAGCTATTGCATAAGTTGTGCCCATTCCTTCAGACAGTTGCTCACACCCTCAGTTACTTATTCCCTAGTCACCTCAAAAATGGTCTTTGTGCTCTACATGGCACTCGCCTTGAAGACTACTTGAAACAACAGCTTATCCAGAATGTGGCACCACAATATGTCAATGGGATGTTGCTGTTCTATAAGCTACATTGGCTACAAGTTGGCATCCATGTGCAAATTCAAAATACTGGTTATGCTTTATAAAATCATTCATGATATAGGACCTGCCCATCCAGGGAGGTCAGACAAAGGAGGTGTGCTTTGAGTCTCTTTGATTAAACGGTGTCATCTATCAGGATCTCAGAAGCTACCTTTTTGGCTGTAATGCTTGACCTCTGGATGAACATCTTCCCAAAGATTTGCACGGCTCCTATCTGTTAACATAGTAGTGTTAGCCATGTAGTGCCAGCTTGTAAATGGTATTAAATAAATAGGTTCTCATGATGTCAGCAGTGCAGAAAAGCTAACCAATGTAATACTTCCTTAGCCACACTGTAGCTGAGACCCATACAAAGCTAGAGATTTGGGGAGGAGAAAGGGAGAGTCAATGATAGCTCTATTTTGCCACTGTGGGGGAACTCTTGTTCTCTCCTCCTCCTCCTCCTCTCAACTCTTAAGCTTCAAGTCCTGCAAAACAGAAATTAGCTTGAGATTTCTATGGTTCCCTTTCCATTCCCATCGTAGCCCTGACGAAAGGAAGAAGGATAAAACTGGCCATCTGTTTTTCCTTTCCATCTTTCTTTTGGCAGGGAGTTGATGGTTGCTGCAAAATGTCAAAACTTTGAAGGAGGGGGGGGCAGTATTTTTGTTTTTCCTTCCCCCCCACCCCATTTTCTGTTTTGAAAGTGAGAAACTGTTATAGTGAAAGCAGCAGGGACCTACAGTGACTCTGTTTACTGCCAGAAGTTCGATCCTGACCAGCTCATGTTGACTCCATCCTTCTGAGGTCAGTAAAATGAAGACCCAGATAATTGGGGCAATATGTTGACTCTGTAAATCACTTAGAGAGCAGCTGTAAAGCACTGTGGAGCAGTATGTAAGTCTAACTTCTAATTGCTATTGCTATAGCAGCCTGTGGCAAGACAGTGATTTTCACTCCTTGTTCTCAGCTGGTAGAAGTGAAAAAAAATCATGGATTAATTTCAAAGTACTTTGGAAGGTCTGGTGAGTGAAAACTTTATTTTTTCTTTATAGCATCTTGACGCAACTCAGGGTACACTTTTTTGGGGGGAACAACTAAGTCAGACATGTCAAACTTGTGACGTCACGTGATGTCGTGCGACGTATCAGAACTTTTTCCCCATTGCCGGCAGTGGGGAGGGTGTGGTTTCCTTGTGACGTGTCCGGCCCATGGGCCGGCAGTTTGACACCCCTGAACTAAGTGTTGCCCAAGTCTGACATTGTCATGAGCTGAGAGAATGACTGACCCAAAGTCACATACTGTAGCTGGCTTTCATGGCTAAGGCAGGACTAGAACTTACAGTCTCCTGGTTTCTAGCCTGGCGCCTTAATCACTAGACCAAATTGGCTCATCAATTTACTCAACACTAATGTGGAAATCCCTGTAGCAAAACAAATGAACTGGCAGATTAATTGATAATGAATTGATATAGTTCCGAGATAATATAATCAACAGTTTGAATTATCTTTCTGCTCTCCTAAAAAAGGCCCACAACTTTTTGCAATTAATAAATTAGCAGCATACAGTAACAAGTAAGATGAAACAGAATTTTTGTACCTCATTTTTCTTTTTTTCTCCATTTTTACTTTATGACATATATCACCCCCATACCTCATGGACCAACATTGATTAAGATAGAATCTTTAAGTTCATAAAGCTGTGATTTCAAAAATTAAAATATTCCGTTATCCTCTTTGCAGATGAGGAACCATTACTCCTGTACTGTCTTTTCCCCATCATTACAAGCATCAAACTCAAGTTGTTTCATGGTTCTTTTCCACGGTTGTAATCTGTCTGAGAGAGAAGTAACTGTTGATCAGAGTTTTAAGACTAAAAAATAAGATTCTCTGACTTTCCCAAGATTAATCTTTCAAGTATTGGCTGAAAAAGTATTAAGTTCAAGACTAAAATCTTGGGGTATGCATAAATGAAATATGTATTTTATTTCAAGCTTGAAACAAACTATTCCATGTAGAATATTATATCACAATATTTCAAGCTTTGACAGAACAAAATCTGAAGCGGATAAAATGTTTTGTAACCTTTTTTTTCAAGAAGGAGAAGGAGAAGGAGAAGGAGAAGGAGGAGGAGAAGGAGGAGGAAGATGAGGAGGAGGAGAAGAAGAAGAAGAAGAAGAAGAAGAAGAAGAAGAAGAAGAAGAAGAAGAAGAAGAAGAAGAAGAAGAAGAAGAAGAAGAAGAAGAAGAAGAAGAAGAAGAAGAAGAAGAAGAAGAAGAAGAAGAAGAAGAAGAAGAAGAAGAAGAAGAAGAAGAAGAAGAAGAAGAAGAAGAAGAAGAAGAAGAAGAAACCAATAGTAGAGAGTACAAGTAGTTCAGAGTTGAACTGTGGAGTCCTTGGTGCCCTCTGAGCTTGACTGTTTTCTTACAGACTTTCATTACCGAATTAGGTAACATCTTCAGTGCTAGAATGGAGTGGATTTTGCTTTCTGTTTACTGTATATACAGTAGCTTGTCCAGGGGCAAGACTTGGCAGCTTCCAGCCCTCTAGCTAGTGCCTGGCAGACTAAATGAGAAGGATATTGGACTAGTTGAGAAGTTACTGTATATAAATAAAGAACAAATGCACTCCCTTCTAGCACTGAAGATGTTACCTAGTCAGGTAATGAAATATCTGCAAGAAAACAACCAAGTACAGAGAGCACCAAGGATGCCACGTGGAAAGATCCGTTTCATCATCCTGTGCTGTCTTTTTAAATTTCAAGTACAACTATACCCTTCTCCCTTTGCCTTGGGGAGGGGGAGCTGTGCTATTTTTTTTTAAAAAAAAAACCTGGTTATTAGCCTGACATTCTCTAGTTTAAAAAACAATTAACTGACTGGTGGACAGACTGATTGATTAATGGATTGTGTGCCATCAAAAAAACAATGCATAGATCTTAATCTCTTGCACATCCCTTTCAAATCAATTAGGGAAGGGGAGGGAGAGAAGGAGGGAGGGAGGGAGGGAAGAAGGAAGGAAGGAAGGAAGGAAGGAAGGAAGGAAGGAAGGAAGGAAGGAAGGAAGGAAGGAAGGAAGGAAGGAAGGGGCATGCACAAGCTATTGACACGGAGAGCCACCTTATTCTGGAAATATAGACTGCCAGAATTTTCCCACCTGACTGCCAGCATTTACATCCCAAATGTAAATTATATTTACATCCTCAGTAGCAAAAAAAGAAAAAAGAATCATGCACACACATACACAGGCTCATACAAAAGGATGAGCAGAGTACACAAAGGCAAAGTTAACTTGCATAGAGCCTGCTGCATTTTTAAATCTCTACAAATGAACACAAGAAAACACTGAGTACAGTGGTGAACACCAAAAACTCGGCAAGCCATCCAAAGTTACTTTTCAATGGCATTTCAATCAAAAACTCCCAAAGAGCCATTGGCAAAGAATCTGAAGCAAGCCATTACCTTCAAACATTTCAGAGAAATGAAAAGATGCTATGTGGAATGGCGACTGAGAGTATGCGTATACACTTTGCAAATGTTCGTTTGCCCTATTGATTGTGGGAGCCTTTCAAGACTCGCCACATCTATACAGGTATTCTGAATCACAAATCAGCAGGAGCACGCACAGAACACACACACACACTTTTGAGTAGGCCAAACCAATATTGTATTACTTTTTCTCACTGACATTTCACTTGCTTTTCTTTATATACGCAAGCACATTCACATACTGTACAAATATTTTACAAAATAGTAGTGGCAGCCTGGCAATGGCATGAAGGATAGGGGAACAATCAGATCCCAAATGGTTTCCTTAAAATGCCAGCAGCGTTGTTCCAAAACTTCATTCCCAGATCACGCTACCAACCCTAAGCCAGTAGTGATAAGTACATGACTGGTCTATCTTGCTATACTGGCCTAGGAAGGAAAATAGCAAGAGGCAAATCAATTTTTAACTGCCTCACATAAAAAGTACAAAACACTAGAAATGTTTTCCCATGAAATGGTCACATTCTGTTTTATGCTTGAACCAAAACTCATGAAGCATATACATTTTGTTTTGAGCATGAACTGCTCAAAGCAGCTGTTTTGAACTTGACGTGTTTTGAACAACCCCTCTAAAATGTATTCAATGTCAGTCTCTATGTTGTAAGTCTTGAGGTAGATATTTCTAACATTCCTGTACTGTATTTGAAAAAAAGAAATCCATTTCTAGATTCTCAACCCCAAGGAACCATGCTAACTTATGAAAGCAGAGTCTTTGCAGTTTATTCAGTTGTATGGGCCATCAGATAATGGAGTTCATTTTGGCATAATGTGCCCCCTAAAATAAAAGTCCAGGAACGATATTTTAAGGACAAAGAATTCATTTGGTCCTAACTTCATAACTCCTTGTATGAAAGATGTTCCTTTCTTTCTTCTTTCTCTGTTTCTCTCACACAAACATTTATAGATATACAGCCCTGACATAGACTAGGATCATACTGTGGGAGTAAGGTGACTTCAGTATTTTGCTTCTGACAATGATTCATATTTAAATTAAGCCAAAAGTGGGGTGAAGATTTATTGATTGATTTATGAGGTATATGTGGCAACATGTTTAGGTGGGGAACAATAAACCATTAAAATCACAATAGCTAGAAATGACAGGAACTTAGAAACCCACAAAATACATTACAACCCTCTAGGCGGTAATTTCAATCAATCTATATTTCCAAAATACAAGGAAAAAGCCAAGTTTTTATTGTCTTTCCAAAGACCAGTAGGATTGGGACTGGTGGTGGGATTCAAATATGTAAACAACTGGTTCTCTGTGTGGACGCTGCTTCCAGAAGTCCATTCTGGGCCTGAGCAACAAAAAGTTAGCTACCGGTTCTGCCGAACCGGCTGAATCCCACCACTGATTGGGACCCTCTATTTAAAAGGGACCCGCTATTGAAATTTAAATGAGTAACGCCATTCAGATCAAATTTAGTACATGACAAATTTAATTTTCTCATCTACCACACAGGACCATAAAGCAAAATACTTATGTAGTTTGATCTTGCTTCTTTTTTATTTCCTCTCTTTAACACAACTGACTTCTAAACTTACAAGATTTTAAGCCCTCCAAGAAAGGGGCTGTCAACCCCACTTGGCACAGTCTTATAACTTTAATTTTCTAGCAGGTTCTTTAAGGGAAATGCTGATTTTATAGGTTCGTATTTTCACGTAGCAAAGAATGTGAAATTTTGGATTTCCAAATGAAAAGCAATATATTTCTTAGGAGGGTTTTTTTTTGTTACCTATTGAGTATTTATGCTACTTACGGCAGACAGATATGGGTAGTGGTTTTTATTTATTGTTTGTTTACTTATTTATGACACATGTCTAAGCCACTCAACTTGCAAATGACTGCTTGTCCTCAGTTGGTAAAGTCTGAAGTTTTGGAAAACAGCCATGAAATATCTTCAAACTGCTTCAGAGGAAATGGAAAATATCCACAGTTCATAAACCTCCTCCAACTAAATCACCCTTTTCTTCTGACTATACTATACTTTAGATTTTCTTTTAACAGTCTAATTAAAATTATAAAAGATCATGCAGGCCACAAAGACAAACAAATTATGTTATAAATTTTGGTGGATTACAGTATACTTTATCACATTTGTTCCATTACATTGTGATCCACCAAAGTTTATGTTTTTATTTCTTCATTATTTTTGCTATGAATAACATATTGTAGCTACTCCTCTAGAACCTATTTAAAGTTCTGATAACTTTTTAAATGATGCTAGTTTTTTTTTAGTCTACTATACATTTTGGTCTTTCCCCAATGGAAAATGCAGCTCTCTTTCCCTGATAATATTTGAGCACAAGCTGTTTTCTTAGAACTTATATAGTCAAAAATATTTTTTTTTAAAGCTGTAATCAGAGTTGGAAGGAGACGTAGAGATTTTCTAGTCCAGATTCAAACTTAGTGGAAATATGGCTTCCTTTCATGATGACAGTCCAACTCTGTGTTAATACCTCTAGTGCAGGAGAAGTTACTACCTTTTAAGTCAGCCTATTGGAAAGCTCTTTTCCATAGGAAATATCTATTGTTTAGCTTATAATAAACATTCCTAAAACTTCTACCCATTAGTATTAGTCCTACAGTAACATTATCATCACCATATCTTGTCATATAATCTTTCCTGGAGCAGATCCACAATCAACCTCCTTTACCTAAACTGAAGGTGTTAATATCAGGTGAATGAAATAATTTCTCTGCATTTGTAATGTAATGGAAATTTTCAATATCACTCTTCCTTACCTGTCTCTCATTGTGTTTGCCATGAATTTCCACAAAGTCCTCAATGACTTTCACACTCAAATCTTCAGGGGAGAAATGCTTTACATCCAAAAAGACAAGAAACTTGTCTCGGTCAGATCTCACCTGGAAATGAAATAAAGACCACATAAACACATCCCCCCCAAGAATTAAAATTTAAACTATTAGCAAGATTAGGTGATTTTTTTTCCTCTTCTCTCAGATTATGTGATGATGTCCTCTGAAATACAGTTTATAAGAACAAAATATCTGAGCTTTTTAAAAGTAGCCTCAGCCTAAGGCTGGTTGGAGATGAACTGACTGGGGTGTGCTAAATACCTACTGTAATGAATATTGACATGGGGAGCTTTTGTACTAGCCTGATTTTTAAAATAATTTGTATATAGAAAATATGGCAAAAATCTACCGTAACATATTAAAGTAAAATGAATGTATGGACAACGGTTTTTTATAGTGCTTTTGCCTTTCTTCACCTTATATGAGTCTAGATGATGTGGTCTTTTTTCTTTCTTTCTTGTTGTTTAGAAAACTTAAAGCAGGTGATAAAGAGTAACTACACAGGAGGCAGGAGGCAGTAGCGGTTATCCACCTTTAAGTACTATTTTAAGACTGATACGTTAAAATGACAAAATTGATTTATTCAAAGCATAAGGAATTAATATGCTACATTTGGATGTAAATTTTGGATTTGTATACATTCTGAAAAACAGCTTGCAATGCATTTTCTGGCTTCCTTTCACTTCACATTAGGATCACAGCAAATTCACTTAGTGGTTTGGGCATTCATCTATTTCATGAATAGATTTTTTTTATTTCCATCAAATCATTTAGTACAGGTTGTAATTCACTGACCTTAAATATTCATACATCATAAACACTTCAGTAATCTTAAGATTTCTCACTGATTTTTAAAAGTAATCACTTTGTCATCTGAGTTCTTGCTAGCTTGTTGATTTGTATTTTATATATGTTTGCAGAATATGAAACAGAATAAAGAGTAAACAGATAGCATTTCAAACTTGATTGTTCTAAAATCTGGTCTCAGTAACACTTTATCTTTATAAATCGTTGATAGGCTATTCTTTCAATAGATTACCATATAGCACTCTGATCATAACATGCCTAATGTTTTCTGTAAAGAACATACATGGTGCAGTACTAATGGTTGAACATGAATTTATTTCTAGCTACAAAGAAACAATTTGATTTGAATACAAATGTCAAATACACAAACATCTGCTTTCACCTAAGCGTGTATATATGCATTCCAGTCTGTATTTGGCAAATATTTGACTACATTAAGAACAAATATGCTCCTTTCTTTCAAATTATCATCATAAGACAACTGCATTACAGCTGAAGTATGTGATAACAAGAACAGTCTGCTGTTGTTCTTTGGCCATCTCACCTGCCTACAGTATTGATAAGATTGATTAAATTCTGGAACAATTTCAGATTATGTTGTTCGCATTTCTGCAAACTGTTGTAAATCCTACCGCATTCTAGTCTCTAGTCAGCTTTGCCAGAAATCAAATCAGTGTTGCTTTTAGGAGAGAGCTTTAAAAGAGTTTAAATATATTGAGGTACAGGAGTCTTACCTCAGAAACACCTGAGTCCAGCAAAGTACGGAAGAAAGATTGCCTGTAGTATGGGCTGATGGTAGAAGAAAACAAAGGCAGGAGATCATATTCAAAAAAACCATCTCCAAAAAAATGGTCAAAAAAGCGGCTTGGAAGTAAAGGTCCAAGAGCTCGTTTGAACCAGGGATGCTGAATGGCAATATCCATGGTCTTTGCTGTGGCTGCAAGCTTAAAAGTGGGGGGGCAAAGACAGTGCAGTCACTTTGATGATAGTGAGGTCTTAACTGAACCACACTGCGGGATTATAGGAAACGTCCCTCTATATATACCACTTTTGCAGAATGAAGGCATCAGCAGGATTTCTGGAAAGACATGATCTCATTATGAAGGTCAATCTGGTCAGCAGAAATTGTAGGGACTGACCTGGGAATGACAGTCTAGTTAGAATCAGTGCCAGAGGGCTGGGCAGTCTTCAGCATTCTCTGGAGAGAAGAGCTATTGTACTATTTTACCAGCCAGCCATAACGTGGTCCTTTTGCTTAGGAAAGGACTCCCAAGGGAACATTTTGCCCACAGTTCCACAGACCATTTTAAATCCTACATTTCTCTAATTTTTTTTTTGCCTGAGATCAAGGAGAAGAAAAGTGATTTTTTTTTCCTGAAATGAATTATTCAGGATTACAGATGTTTTATTTCAGATTGAAAAGAATGGAAAGACAGCAGTTGAAAGACCTTGTGATAGAATGCATGGAGGAAAATAATAAATTGTCAGTTTAACCTGTGGACATATTGAGCTGGATATTGGAACTATAAATCACGAATCCAAGTTCTATTTACTTTATAAGTCAATAAGAATGTGTAAGTATTCATTTTAAAAATACCCCAAACATTCTTAAAGTGAAATAATGAAGAGTTTTTCCTACTTTTATTTTCAGATCAGTATATAATATACAGATGAAAAATATGTGCTCCACTGATTCTATTTATGAGTTATTACGTGGGCAGAATCTTTGTACAAGCAGTATGCCCTGGAACTTTCCTAACAGGACCTAAGATGGAAAGCCATTTAATTACAGCTTTACAAAAGTTATCTGATAATTACTAGGACTTAGATTGGTTAAATATGAGGCCATACACCAAGGCTGCAAACGTACCTAACATTCCTTCCTCCTGCTATTTTCCCCTATGAGATGGGTTGGGCTGAGAATGTGTGACTGGTCCAAAGTCACCCAGTCAGCTTTCATGCTAGGGCAGGATTAGAACTCATGGTCTCCTGATTTCTAGCCAGGTGCCTTAATCTAAGCCAGTTAGGCCAAACCGGCTGCCAAGCAAATTGCATAGATTATACACAAAAATTGCATATATTATTATTATTAGATTTTTATCCTGCCTTTATTAATTTATAAGTAACTCAAGGTGGCAAACAAAAATAATATCCTTTTCTTCTCCTATTTTCCCCACAACAACCCCATGAGGTGAATTGGGCTGAGAGTGAATAACTTTCATGCCTATGGTGAGACTAGAACTCAGTCTCCTGGTTTGTAGGCCATGACCTTAACTACAACACCAAATTGACTCTCATATATCTCATATATCCCAGAATATTTGTCTAACATGTTGAAGTGTACCCCATTATAAACAGATGAATTGGAGAGAGGCCAAATTGATTGATTTTCTGACATGTAGTTTTAAACCGGGAAATAATACACGGGTCTTCAATACATGGGAAGAAAGTAATTCCAAAGTGGAATAGAAAGTCCCTCCCCTCCAAATAGTTCTTTAGACTGAAACACGGGAACCTCTCGAGTAATGTGGGATAGAGTGCATCTTCCTTCTACACCATGAGAGTATTAGCCTAATCAGGGCTTTTTTTGTCATAGAACGCCCAGAACGGAGTTCCGTCACCTTTTTTGGATGGAACCTTGTAGGGTAGGCAAGGCGGGTTGTATAACATGTGAGAGTTCCGGCACCTTTTTTTTTTCTTCAAAAAAAGCACTGAGCCTAATTGTTCAGAAGAACCTCCTGTGGTCCAGAAAGGGTTTTGTACAGAAAGGACAAGCAGAAAACTTCCAGGTTAACTCCTGGACGACCTATGATGGATTCTAATATGTGCTCCCCTCTCCCCAGGTAACATAATTTAGTGTTTTTTAAAAACAAATATCTGAATGGCAACCTAACAGGTTTGGGCAGCGATTGGTTTAATTTTCTGCAGATCGTTTTTAACATATCTGAGATTGTTGAGATTCATTTTACTGTATAATTTGCTTCGCATCAAAGTTAAATATTGGCTCTGTTTGTACAAAAGGGTGATTTTTTTTTCAAAAGAATTTATATAATATCAACAGTCTGCTGGATGCAGTCAAAGAGGCTTAGAAAGCTATGAGCAAGCCCCTTTTTCACCTCAGAGCCCAAGTCATGAACATTGAACAAATCCCATCAGTGCTTGGGGTATATAATAGCATTGTTGCTAAATCAATGGTGAATTGTATTGCTAATCCTTGGCACTTATTCAACCAAGGTCAGCAAGTTTCAGCAGCATAACGCACCAATACCTTCACCAATGTGTTTATAGGGTAGATGTGATGCTCAGCACCTCAAATCCATGAACCTTCAGGACAAATGAACAGAAGAAAACAAAACCAAGATTATGAAGAGAGTCATTGATAGCCATTTTACCTCCTGCTACAGAACAAGCCAAAAGTATTTTTCTTATTGAGTTAATTGCTTAAATCCATTGTTGAGACTTGGACTGAAACTTGTTCCACTAAATTTGTATTATGCCAAAGTAAGCAGTGTGGCACATTCTTGCCCGACCCTCTGTATCACTCTCCAAATGTGGACTCAAACTTAAGCAGCATGGAGGCAAAGTAACAAGAGTTTAGTCTAATATACCTGATGACCAAGTTTGAGTGAAGGTTATCTACTGGGCCAACTTTGATGAAAGATGACCTGTTGCATTTTTCCAAAGTCTTGGCTTTACTGGACTCTATGACATCTGAATTCTCGTGGCATCATAGCAGATTGTTTTTTTCTAAATGATTTCCAAAGTTACAGATGATTGAACAAAGGAGCAAGAGTTGACAAAATGAAGTGGAACAATCAAACTATGTTACTTTTTAAAATTTCATCCAATGCTTCACAATAATTTCTCTGTCAAACTACTTGTGTCTAATTATAACCTACCTACCTACAGTAATTTAAAGTAATGTAGTACTGAGATTATGCTTGTTTCTTCTTTGTCCTCCCCATTTTCTGTTCTGTTGGGTGGCTACATATTTCTTCTTTGAAATTTATCTATAAGCTGCCTGGGAGCCTTTTCAAGTAAGGAATAAGCTAAAATGCTTATTAACAAACAAGCCAATTAAACAAGGTGATTGTTGTTCTCACAGCGAGCAGTCTTAAGAATAAACAGGCTTGAGTCCTAAGTAATCCCTCCCTTTGGTGTTCATTTCCACCCATCTTTGAATTAACTACTCATAATGTTAAAACCATCATGAATGAGAATTGGATAGTGAGCCTGCCACACTGTAATAATTCTCATAAGAACAAAAACAAAAGGAAAAAATCTACACTATTTCATCATTTATACAGAAAACATGCATGCAGTTCTACACTAGCAATTTATAGTTCTGTACACTAACAAAAACAGATTTTATATCACCACAGTGATGTGTGGATGCTACTATAAGTTGTTAGCCCATAAAATTTCACTAAGTATTCACTAGGTTGGGGAATGATATACTGTACAAAAACCAGAAACTTTGATCTTACACATTCGTGACAGTTTATGTTAAGATGATGTCTTTCTAATGTCTCTTTAGAGTCCTTCATAAATATCTGCTATCCCAAATAAGTATTGGATAAGCCTTTAAACATCAAGATGTGTGCTTTAACTTAAGAAGCACAAGCATATTTAAATTCCTCCACTTCTCAGGAACGTTCTCAAAAAACAAACAACCCAAAAAGAGGTGGGAAAAAGGGGTGAAGGGGGGCTTCTGGTAGCTGACATAACATTGGATCATTGTGAGTTTTCTTTGCTTTTAATTTTCTATTAATATTGTCTGCTGCTCAGAGCTTGTTCGAATGGAGCAACACAGAAATACCATTGATAAATGTGATGGAAGGAAAAAGGTGATGTCGAATAAAAGGTTCTAAAAGATGAGGCAGTTTTATTCTCTTTCTCAAAGAAAAGAACTTACCTTGAACATAATACTCTAATACTATCATCTGCTGTAAATGTTGTGGCCAAATGTTTAACAAAGCTGCTTCTGTTTACAGAATCAGAGATTTCACATGACACAGCTTTTTTCTCTTTATTTCTACACACTGGATCTCAGATAATCTTTCTAGTGTATACACAGCACAGCAGAAGTAATGTGCATTCTTCAGCTGAAATCACAACCTGCTTCATGGCCATCCAACCTCTTTTTGTGTGGATTATGGACCGGATGGTGGGCTGGGCTTGCCCTTCTGGGAAACTTACACAATCCAATGTTTCCCATAGCAGAGAATTTGTAAACTCTGGTCCTTTCTTTTATCTAAACAGATAGGGGATCTTTGTGTCATATTAAATACAGCTTGCTTTCACAATGCAAAAGACGAAGTGGCATTAGGTATTAACGGTAGCACAAATGTACATGGCACTGAATTGCACTTCCCACCATCACTGATGCTTACCCTGCTTCCTCTATAGGTTATATATTCTTACACACAGAATTATAATGCTGATATTAAGCATGGCTACATTTCATTTACAATTCCTTATTCATACTAGATTAAACTTTGAAGCTACTTGTGCTATGAAATAGCTTAGTCATACAACATGCTAATTTATAGTGCAATTTGGCTCTAATTTAGTTGTAGGCACCTAACCAGTCAGCATACCATGATTTAAAAAATTGTGGCTTGTGAGAGAAATATTGCAATGATTCTCCAGCTTCTGTTGGACTCCATTTTTGTTAACCTTAACCAGCACAAACACCATAGAGTGTAGACATTTTATTCCCCCTCCCCTTTACATCTAATGTAGATCACGAATGGAATTCATGAAGATGAGTAAGTAAAGATAAATTACTGTATACGAAATATGTAATATATGAGGACACAAGACCCTTTCCCATATGAAACATTTGAGGGCTCCAGTGACCCTAGTGAGTTATGTGCAAATATCTTCTTGATGGGCTCTCTCCTAGAAGGTATCAGCAACA